TGTCGCTCATGAACACATTTTAAAGCTTTAGTTAAACTCTAACTTCCTGTCGCTGACACAAAAACAAACTAACGATGTTTCTACAGACACCACTCTGTGTACTCTGGGTTTACATAAGACCAGAGTGACAGTGAAGGGGTGAGGGAATGATTGACAGACAGATACAGAGACAGACAGACAGACAGATACAGACAGATACAGACAGACAGATACAGAGACAGACAGAAAGATACAGAGACAGACAGAGACAGACAGATACAGACAGACAGATACAGAGACAGACAGAAAGATACAGAGACAGACAGAGACAGACAGATACAGACAGACAGATACAGAGACAGACAGACAGACAGATACAGACAGATACAGCCAGACAGATACAGAGACAGACAGAAAGATACAGAGACAGACAGAGACAGACAGATACAGACAGACAGATACAGAGACAGACAGAAAGATACAGAGACAGACAGAGACAGACAGATACAGACAGACAGATACAGAGACAGACAGAGACAGACAGATACAGACAGACAGATACAGAGACAGACAGAGACAGACAGACAGATACAGAGACAGACAGAGACAGACAGACAGATACAGAGAGAGACAGACAGATACAGACAGACAGATACAGAGACAGACAGAGACAGACAGACAGAGAGATACAGAGACAGACAGATACAGAGACAGACAGAGACAGACAGATACAGACAGAGACAGACAGAGACAGACAGAGACAGACAGAGACAGACAGAGACAGACAGATACAGAGACAGACAGAGATACTGCTGTGAAAGGCTGTGGTAATGTCAGTCTCAGAAAATCACATAACAAAGTTTTTAAAGGAGTTTTATAAAAACCAATTCCGGCGATCCAAGATGGCGTCTTATACAAATCAATGGCTTGAGCTCAGAGGTACATGTGTCCGAGATGACACATGCACCACCCTACTCTACTCTACTCTACTCTACTCTACCCTACCCTACCCTACCCTACCCTACCCTACTCTACTCTACTCTACCCTACCCTACCCTACCCTACCCTACCCTACTCTACCCTACCCTACCCTACCCTACCCTACCCTACCCTACTCTACCCTACCCTACCCTACCCTACCCTACCCTACCCTACCCTACTCTACTCTACTCTACCCTACCCTACCCTACCCTACTCTACTCTACTCTACCCTACCCTACCCTACCCTACCCTACCCTACTCTACCCTACTCTACCCTACCCTACCCTACCCTACCCTACTCTACTCTACCCTACCCTACCCTACCCTACCCTACTCTACTCTACCCTACCCTACACTACCCTACCCTACCCTACCCAACCCTACCCTACTCTACCCTACTCTACCCTACCCTACCCTACCCTACCCTACTCTACTCTACCCTACCCTACCCTACCCTACCCTACCCTACCCTACCCTACTCTACTCTACCCTACCCTACCCTACCCTACCCTACCCTACCCTACCCTACCCTACCCTACCCTACTCTACTCTACTCTACTCTACTCTACTCTACTCTACTCTACTCTACTCTACTCTACTCTACTCTACTCTACTCTACTCTACTCTACTCTACTCTACTCTACTCTACTCTACTCTACTCTACCCTACTCTACTCTACTCTACGGGGTAGAGTAGGGCGGCACGGTGGCTGAGTGGATAGCACTCTCGCCTCTCAGCAAGAAGGTCCTGGGTTCGAATCCCGGTTGGACCAGGGCCTTTCTGAGTGGAGTTTGCATGTTCTCCCTGTGTCTGCGTAGGTTTCCTCCGGGTGCTCCGGTTTCCCCTACCACTAAAAATATGTACAATAGGTCTGGCATGTGCCTCCTGTACTGGCACCACCACTCCCAAAAAAAAATAACAATTGTAAACCACTTTGAGACTCCGATGTGCAGTGAAAAGGCGGTATATAAATAAAGATTACTACTCTACTCTACTCTACTCTACCCTACCCTACCCTACCCATTGAAGGCCTCTATTCCATCAGGCCTGGACCCTCCCCAGTTTGCCTACTGCAACAACAGGAGCACAGAGGACGCCATCTCCCTGGCCCTTCACAAAGTTCTGACACATCTGGATGATAACAACACATATGCCAGGATGCCGTTGGTTGATTTCAGCTCTGCATTTAACACCGTCATTCCATCTAGGGTGATCAGCAAACTACATGACCTCGGCATCAATCCAGCTCTGTGTAACTGGACCATGGACTTTCTCACTAACAGACCTCAGCACGTTCGTTTGGACAACCACAGTTCCACCACCATCCAAATTAACACCGGAGTCCCACAGGGCTGTGTTTTAAGCCCCTTTCTCTACTCCCTCTTCAGTCACGACTGCAAACCAGTGTCCCTCACTAATTTCATCATCAAGTTTGCAGACGACACCACACTGATAGGCCTCATCCACAGAGAGGAGATCCAGCATCTGTCCACCTGGTGTGCTGGTAACACCAGAAAAACCAAAGAACTTATAGTGGACTTCAGGAGGAGTACAGAAGGAGAACACAACCCCATCTACATCAATGGGACGGTGGTGAAGTCAGTCCGGTCTCTCTCAGTCCGGTCTCTCTCAGTCCGGTCTCTCTCAGTCCGGTCTCTCTCAGTCCGGTCTCTCTCAGTCCGGTCTCTCTCAGTCCGGTCTCTCTCAGTCCGGTCTCTCTCAGTCTGGTCTCTCTCAGTCCGGTCTCTCTCAGTCCGGTCTCTCTCAGTCCGGTCTCTCTCAGTCCGGTCTCTCTCAGTCCGGTCTCTCTCAGTCCGGTCTCTCTCAGTCCGGTCTCTCTCAGTCCGGTCTCTCTCAGTCCGGTCTCTCTCAGTCCGGTCTCTCTCAGTCCGGTCTCTCTCAGTCCGGTCTCTCTCAGTCCGGTCTCTCTCAGTCCGGTCTCTCTCAGTCCAGTCCGGTCTCTCTCAGTCCGGTCTCTCTCAGTCCGGTCTCTCTCAGTCCGGTCTCTCTCAGTCCGGTCTCTCTCAGTCCGGTCTCTCTCAGTCCGGTCTCTCTCAGTCTGGTCTCTCTCAGTCCGGTCTCTCTCAGTCTGGTCTCTCTCAGTCCGGTCTCTCTCAGTCCGGTCTCTCTCAGTCTGGTCTCTCTCAGTCCGGTCTCTCTCAGTCCGGTCTCTCTCAGTCTGGTCTCTCTCAGTCCGGTCTCTCTCAGTCCGGTCTCTCTCAGTCCGGTCTCTCTCAGTCTGGTCTCTCTCAGTCCGGTCTCTCTCAGTCCGGTCTCTCTCAGTCCGGTCTCTCTCAGTCCGGTCTCTCTCAGTCCGGTCTCTCTCAGTCCGGTCTCTCTCAGTCCGGTCTCTCTCAGTCCGGTCTCTCTCAGTCCGGTCTCTCTCAGTCCGGTCTCTCTCAGTCCGGTCTCTCTCAGTCCGGTCTCTCTCAGTCCGGTCTCTCTCAGTCCGGTCTCTCTCAGTCCGGTCTCTCTCAGTCCGGTCTCTCTCAGTCCGGTCTCTCTCAGTCCGTTCTCTCTCAGTCCGGTCTCTCTCAGTCCGGTCTCTCTCAGTCCGGTCTCTCTCAGTCTGGTCTCTCTCAGTCCGTTCTCTCTCAGTCCGTTCTCTCTCAGTCCGGTCTCTCTCAGTCCGGTCTCTCTCAGTCCGGTCTCTCTCAGTCCGGTCTCTCTCAGTCCGGTCTCTCTCAGTCTGGTCTCTCTCAGTCCGGTCTCTCTCAGTCCGGTCTCTCTCAGTCTGGTCTCTCTCAGTCACTGCTCGATCTCATTATTTTGACGCCGTTTGAACAAAGCCTCAGTTCGACACAAAGCCACGAGCTGCTGGAGCCTTCTGCTTTTACTACCGCCAGTGTCAGCAGTTTACCAGAGACCATGGACCACAGATAGACCACAGACCACAGAGACCACAGAGACCACAGAGAGACCAGAGACCACGGATCACAGAGACCACAGAGAGACCAGAGACCACGGACCACAGAGAGACCAGAGACCACAGAGAGACCAGAGACCACGGACCACAGCGAGACCAGAGACCACGGATCTGAAGTATCTGTCTCTGTGCTCATTCTGGAAGCTCTACGGCCACGGAACCCACACGTGTGAGTCCAGGGGATTATAACATGTTCCGGGTTCTTTGTTTGTCCACTTTGTAGTTCTACATTAGTTCTCAGTTTATTCTTATTTATTCATTTACCTAAAGTCCATAGACTGCACTTTAAGGCAAGTTTATCTGTATAGCGCAATTCATACACAGGTAGCATTAAAATCATAAATAATCACAGTACATTAAAAAGAAAGAAAAAAAATACAAAATCTGGATTTAAAGATTGTCAGAGAAAGAAGCCTGTCTCATATTTTCAGGAAGATTGTTGCAGATTTCAGCTGCATGAATGTGAACGCAGCCTCCCCATGTTTAGTTCTGTTGTATCTCTCAGTGGGGCAAGAATCACATCTTTAGAGAAAACCAACTCACTTTTTCTTTCCACTTTTCACAGTGATATAAACAGTTGTGATTCAGAATCTGCCTCCGGAGCCAGTGGAGCTTTGTTTTTGTGGAACTTCTCAAAATAACACTTTTTCATGAATCCATTTATTGTCCACGTCTCACCTCGAGCAAACTCTTTTCTAATCCTATCATCTCGTCTTTAAACGAAACTCTCCTGTGACAGAAACCTTTCAATTCTAGTTTGCATTAGGCACGAATGATCTGGTCTTAGGTTAGCTCCTGTGTCTTCTCGCTGTGAGGCAGAGGTTTTGCAGGTCTTTCCTTCCTGCTGCTGTCAGACTGTACAACGAACAATGAGGACTAACGAACACTGCTGCCCTGTACCAGTCTGTAATAATCTGAATTAATGTCAGAATGTACAATATTGAACCACTGTCACCATGTACAGATGTAAACATACGTAACTACATATGTCTTCTTTATAATGCTGGATACAGATGTTATTGTTCATTTATCTTGTGCTGTCCGGTAACTGGTGATGCAACACTGACATTGTGGGACTTCATCTTCTTCCTCCTGGTTGTTTCTCAGGTCAAACATGTCCCTAAAGGCTCAGCTGGTGTCTGTGGTCCTGTGTTGTGTTTATGGTGTGGCTTCGCTCTTCTGTCTCCATCCAAACCGCAACAACAGCGTCTCTGTGGGCGCCAGGTCAGTGTCAGCCCCTCCACACATACTGTACTCTCTGTGGGCGCCAGGTCAGTGTCAGCCCCTCCACACATACTGTACTCTCTGTGGGCGCCAGGTCAGTGTCAGCAGCACACATACTGTACTCTCTGTGGGCGCCAGGTCAGTGTCAGCAGCACACATACTGTACTCTCTGTGGGCGCCAGGTCAGTGTCAGCAGCACACATACTGTACTCTCTGTGGGCGCCAGGTCAGTGTCAGCAGCACACCTACTGTACTCTCTGTGGGCGCCAGGTCAGTGTCAGCAGCACACATACTGTACTCTCTGTGGGCGCCAGGTCAGTGTCAGCCCCTCCACACATACTGTACTCTCTGTGGGCGCCAGGTCAGTGTCAGCCCCTCCACACATACTGTACTCTCTGTGGGCGCCAGGTCAGCCCCTCCACACATACTGTACTCTCTGTGGGCGCCAGGTCAGCCCCTCCACACATACTGTACTCTCTGTGGGCGCCAGGTCAGTGTCAGCCCCTCCACACATACTGTACTCTCTGTGGGCGCCAGGTCAGTGTCAGCCCCTCCACACATACTGTACTCTCTGTGGGCGCCAGGTCAGTGTCAGCCCCTCCACACATACTGTACTCTCTGTGGGCGCCAGGTCAGTGTCAGCCCCTCCACACATACTGTACTCTCTGTGGGCGCCAGGTCAGCCCCTCCACACATACTGTACTCTCTGTGGGCGCCAGGTCAGTGTCAGCAGCACACATACTGTACTCTCTGTGGGCGCCAGGTCAGTGTCAGCAGCACACATACTGTACTCTCTGTGGGCGCCAGGTCAGTGTCAGCAGCACACATACTGTACTCTCTGTGGGCGCCAGGTCAGTGTCAGCCCCTCCACACATACTGTACTCTCTGTGGGCGCCAGGTCAGCCCCTCCACACATACTGTACTCTGTGGCTGCAGGTTTTCTATCAGACGTAGCAGGAGCAGAGCAGACTCCTCCCATTTCCTCAAATCTTCAGGTTAAGAAATGGGCGGGGTCTATGCTGCTCCTGCTGGGTCTGATAGAAAACCTGCAGCCACAGCGGCCCTTTCTGGACCAGTTTGGACACCTCTGCCTTAAACCCTGCTGCAGGAACTAGAAAAAAGTAGCGACTTAAGGTTGGGGATTTACAGTATGCTCTTCCCCTCTCAGCTGGCTCCTCTCTCCTCGGAAGGTAGAGGAACAGCGGCTCTATTCCGAGATCCGAGTAGTGTTTAGAGTCTGCTCCCTCTTCTTCTGCCTCCACATCTTGTTGTTTTACTTCATACTAGAGAAACACAAGCATTTTCTTACTTTACATGAAAACAGAAAGAAATGAAAATAATTCTTTAACTTCAATTCTTCTATTAATAATGTTATTGTTGTTATTACCGTGGATCTGTCACGTGACTTTCATGTGTTTGTTTCAGGAGTCTGACTTCCATCCTGCAGCACGTCTCTCAAAGATTCTTCGGTTTGATGAGAACAAGTTTATGATCAGTGCCCGCTTCCGCCAGCAGAGGGCGACACAGCGCGGCCCCTTCCCGTGTTTAACATTACAATACAAAACAATGATCCGTATTTGGGAATGAAACTTTACTTGAGTAGTTTTGAGTTACGCAGATTGTAGCATCACCACATCGTGCATTTACTGTCATTAGACCCGGCTATGCTTCTCTTTGAGCTTTTAAAATGAGTAAAAAGTTTTGAGTACATGCGACAAATCCATAAAGTAATCAGTATGAAATGATTGGAGCTCCTGTGTTTCTCTCACTGCTCCTTCAGGTATGAGTTCTTATTTGTGTCCATCCTTTGAAAATACATACAGTGCATTATTTTGTCGTTATTACATTCACTCCAAACTCTGCATCGAGACATGTGCAGATCATTTAAAACTATATCGATATAAAGCTGTGTCCTCTCTCAGGAAAACCTTAATTATCACATTTTGCCTCTGAGGGTGAGGGTTATTGCCATAGACTGAATTATTTCTGAGGGTTAGCTTTTAGTCAGGAGCTAACCCTCATATGGCTCAGATCTGGATTTACAGACGATATCACAGAGAGAGAAAACCACAGATTTAAACCCAAAATACTGAGAAAGAGGAATTTACTTAAACATGGAAGTCAAGAGGAGCCAGACTTCACCCACGAGCACTTCCCTATTGGGCTTCCCTGAGCTAGCGGGTTAGCATTGTCCGTCTGCATACAGTCTGTGGTTACTGCCGGGGAATTCAGCAGAGATCGAGGGGAGTTTGGTGAAGAGGAAGTGATGAGAATGAAAGTGAAAGTGTAAATGAAGCACATGGATGTTTAAAAATGGAAGAGGCTCGTGTTTGAGCAGAGGAAGCGACAGAAGAGAAGGTTGGAGAGAAGACCTGCTGCTGGTTCTAACAAAGAAGACCTGCTGCTGGTTCTAACAAAGAAGACCTGCTGCTGGTTCTAACAGAGAAAACCTGCTGCTGGTTCTAACAAAGAGGAGGATTTGACTTATCAGGATTGGAGTGTGTTTCTAACGTGGTTGTGTGTGTATTGGAGTGTGTTTCTAACGTGGTTGTGTGTGTACTGTATAGATATAGGTCAAATATATTTAACTTCAAAACATTATAAACAAACGCTTTATTCACCTCGATGGACTTCTTCAAATGCTGTTTGTGCCTGTGATTTTGAAATGTTTTATACTTATTTATTTTTGTTGATTTGATCTGAAATAAAACGTCTTCTTCACAACAAGCCGTCTTCACATTATGGAATATGTTTTATCTTTTCTAAACTTCTAATGAATCCAAACTCTGTGAGGCTCAGAGCTGATTGGCTGAACACAATTTCAGGACAATTTTCTTAAATCTGTAACATGTCTCATTGAATTCATCTGAATAATCCTTTGGATTCAAAGAAAGTCTTTATGATGCTGTAATCTCTGAACATGAGAAAATCAAACGCTGAAGTGCCCACATTGTCTGTGGTAACTTTACGGGAGTTCAAGATAGCAGGAGCCAATTTCCTTATGGGCATTTCTTCAGCAGGGTTGGCTTTTCTTCGTAATGGGGTTAAGACAGTTTCTGCGGCAAATGAAGGCCTCTGATTGGTCAATCTGTATATGGCTCATATCTGGATTTACAAAGATAATATCACATTATAAACTCCACAGAGAGTGATGGTGAGTATGACACTGATGTTACTGAGCTGGAGGAGGTCAACAGGAGCTAGAGCGAGTTGGAACAAAACTTCGTCCATGAGCACTTCCCTAATGGTAAAGGTAAAGGTGCACTTTTTTGATCCCCGTAGGGCAATTCATCCTCTGCATTTGACCCAGATCCTGATGGGCTTACGCCAGGAGCAGTGGTCACCGTAGAACAGCGCCCAGGAACCCATCTCCAGATGTTGATGCTCAGCTCGGTCAGGACCAGAGGATTTAACCTATCGCGCATGTTTTAGTGGTTTTAATGGTTTTAGTGGTTTTAGTGGTTTTAGTGGTTTTAGTGGTTTTATTGGTTTTAGTGGTTTTAATGGTTTTAATGGTTTTAGTGGTTTTAATGGTTTTAATGGTTTTAGTGGTTTTAATGGTTTTAATGGTTTTAGTGGTTTTAGTGGTTTTAGTGGTTTTAATGGTTTTAGTGGTTTTAGTGGTTTTAATGGTTTTAATGGTTTTAGTAGTTTTAGTGGTTTTAGTGGTTTTAATGGTTTTAATGGTTTTAGTGGTTTTAGTGGTTTTAGTGGTTTTAAGGGTTTAAGTGGTTTTAATGGTTTTAGTGGTTTTAATGGTTTTAGTGGTTTTAATGGTTTTAATGGTTTTAGTGGTTTTAATGGTTTTAGTGGTTTTAGTGGTTTTAGTGGTTTTAGTGGTTTTAGTGGTTTTAATGGTTTTAGTGGTTTTAGTGGTTTTAATGGTTTTAATGGTTTTAGTGGTTTTAGTGGTTTTAATGGTTTTAATGGTTTTAGTAGTTTTAGTGGTTTTAGTGGTTTTAATGGTTTTAATGGTTTTAGTGGTTTTAAGGGTTTAAGTGGTTTTAATGGTTTTAGTGGTTTTAATGGTTTTAGTGGTTTTAATGGTTTTAGTGGTTTTAATGGTTTTAATGGTTTTAGTGGTTTTAATGGTTTTAGTGGTTTTAGTGGTTTTAGTGGTTTTAGTGGTTTTAGTGGTTTTAATGGTTTTAGTGGTTTTAGTGGTTTTAATGGTTTTAGTGGTTTTAATGGTTTTAGTGGTTTTAGTGGTTTTAATGGTTTTAGTGGTTTTAGTGGTTTTAATGGTTTTAGTGGTTTTAGTGGTTTTAATGATTTTAGTGGTTTTAATGGTTCACAACTCTGCTGTGAACACTTCCTGGTTCAACAAATGCATTTGGAAAACTGACCGCCATAACCTTAAAAACCCACGTTTTTATCACTTGTTTCTTTCGCGTAAATCGATTGGATTAAGCGCCTTTTAACAGCTGCACCTCAAAAGGATTACTGTCATCACCCTCCGAACTGTACAACAGCCTTCGAAAGTTGCCGCTAGCAACTCGGCTAACTTCCGTATACGTAACCATGGACACAGCACCTTCTCCCGTTAATATCTACAAAGAAATCTACAAGTCACAACTTACTTCATCCAGCTCGATAATCAAGAAACCAGTACGCACTATGTCTCCCGAAGAACTACAATTGACTGTCAATAACCTCTCTATCGAACTAAAACACAAAGAAACACTCCTGGAACTATTCATGGACATTGCATTTAAACAAGCACAACACCTCTCACTTTCCGCTCACCACGACACTATTCCCTGGGACCCTGTCATCTGCCCGAACCCCTCATCCTGCTCAACCCCACTCCACAGCAATACCTCGTGCGTTGTGGTCCGAAGAAAGGACCCGCTCGCTCCTGGGCCGAGTCTGGCCACCGCGCTCTTCCCGGAGCATCCAGCGCTCTGCCCGGTTCCGGATCCTTCGCCGCCTCATACAGCCCTAGAGCCACCGGTCTCCAGCTGTCCTGCCCCGGAGCATGGCCATCCTCAGAGCAAGTTCAACCAGGAGCAGAGGCCGCGAGACCACAGAGTGTCCCTGTCCACCCGCCGCAGACTGGTGGAGGAGGCTGTCCGCAGGCGCTCCGTGGGCCCTCCGTGCTCTGACCCAGCGCGGAGCCCCCTGCGCCCGGACACTGCGCGGGGTTTGGCTGAGGCTGCAGTGGGGGGATCTCCGCGTTCAGAGACAGCGCGGAGTCCTCCCGCGAAAGCTGCCTCGGTCCTGGGAGACTCGCAGCGCCCTGCTCAAGTGAGTGGCCCCGCAGACTCAGTACGGTGCGCGGCGCATGACGGAGCAAACGCCGGGGTAGCCATTGGGGAATCCCCGCGCTCCAGCGCAGCGCGGGGATCCCCTATGAATGCTGCCCTGGCTCCGGAAGGGTCACTGCGCTCTGACGCAGCGCGGGACCCCTGCGAGAATGCTACCGCTACCCCGGGTGGACCTCCTCGCTCTGACCCAGCGTGGGGTTCCCCCGTGGACAGCGCTGTGCCCTCTGTTGCTGCTGGAGGACCTCCTTGTCCGGACTCAGTGCGAGGCTCTCCCACGCCACCCCGCGCCCCAGTCTCAGTCCGTCCAGAACCGCCTCGGTCTCCTTCACTCTCTCCCAACCCTCCGCTCTTATCTCGGTCTCCTTCACTCTCTCCCAACCCTCCGCTCTTATCTCACGGCACCACCGCAAATGCTCCTGGTCTCGCCCTGCCCGCTCAGGTCCCTCAGCGCCCATCTCCCCCCACTACGATAACTCCATCCTCCCCCCGACCATTGTTCGCACCCACAACTCTTCTGGTGGGTGACTCCATCATTAAACGCTGCAGGTTTTTTAATGTTTCCACTCACTGTTTCCCTGGAGCCACTGTCACTTCACTGCTGAACAAATTACCTGCCCTTCTTATAAACGCCCCCACTACAATAACCCGTCTTATTATCCATATCGGTTCAAATGACAGTTCATCCCGCCACTCGGAAATCACAAAACTGCATTTTAGAGACCTTTTTAACTTTTTATCAGAATCTGGATTATCTGTTTTTATCTCCGGCCCTCTACCCACTCTCAACCGAGGAGATGAACGTTTTAGCAGAATTCTAGCTCTTCACACTTGGCTCAAACAAGCATCAACCCTCCACAACTTTGGTTTTATTGACAATTTTAATTTATTCTGGCACCGCTCCTCCTTCTTCAGACCTGATGGCCTTCATATCAACCCTCTTGGAAACCGCTTTCTCACATCCAATATCATCCATTCAGTACAGTCTCACTCCACCTACAACTGACTATCTGCCTCCTCACCCCCCGTATCACCTCCTCACCGACCCAGCCCCAGCTCTCCCCCTCAGTCAATCCCTGTCATCTCCAGACCCCGACCCCACAGGACCTCCTCCAGAGAACTCTCCCTCCCCTGTCTCATCCCGGTTCCCCTTTGCTCCTCTACAGCCCTCACTCCGGACCCTGCACCTACAATCTTTGGACTTCTAAACATCAGATCCATCAACAATAAATCCTTCATCTGTCAGGACTTCATCACATACAACAACCTGGACTTCATGATTTTAACAGAAACATGGCAAGTGCAAGGCGACTGCACCCCCCTCATTGAAGCGACCCCCCCGGACTACACCTTCCTCCACCAACCAAGACTCTGCGGTAAGGGAGGGGGGGTTGCAGCCATCTTTAAGAACACTTTTAAATGCACTCCTGGATCACAAAATGTTTTTACTTCATTTGAACACCTGTCTCTTATCATTTCATGTAAAACCCCAGTGTTTGTTTTAATTATTTATAGACCCCCTAAACCCAGCACTGTTTTTATTCAAGAATTCTCTGATCTTTTATCCCAGTGTATGGCCCTCCACAACAAAGTTTTAATCTTAGGTGATTTTAACATTCATGTCTGCTGCCCACATAAACCACACCCTTTAACCTCTGATTTTATTGATCTAATTGAGTCTTTTAATCTTCTTCGAATTATAAATGCTCCGACCCATTCTAAGGGCCATACACTGGACCTGGTTTTAACGTTTGGTCTCAGCGCAGGAAATGTCATCACCAAGGATATCTGTGTGTCGGACCACTTAGCTATTTTATTCGACGTTATTTTAGCCCCTCAGTCTGCCTCCAATGGGTCATTTTATCACTCTCGTGTTTTTAACTCCACCTCTGCTCTTAAATTTTCCCAACTTTTTACTGCAGCCTCCTTGACTACTTTTAACCAACATTTTAGCCTGGAGGAGCAGGTCTCCTCCTTTTATCAAACATCACATAGGATTTTAGACACGATTGCACCTTTTAAACAAAGAAACCCCACCAGAACACCACAACCATGGCTCAATGAAAACACTCGAAAGCTCTTACAGTCATGCAGACAGCTCGAACGGAAATGGAAAAAATCACACCTTACAGCATTTCACCTCGCCTGGAAAGACAGTCTCAAACAATATCAACACGTAGTCAAGGAAGCAAGAACTTTATTTTATTCAAACACTATCACCCAAAACAAATCGAATCCCAGAGTTTTATTTAAAGTTTTAAACTCTATTATAAATCCCAGTCCCTGTGTTTTTAGTGATTCATCCACTGAACAGTGTGAATTATTTTTAAACCATTTTATTCAAAAGATAACAGATATCCGGACCCAAATATCTGCTCCTAGCCAAGCCACTGTTTTAAATAGAGAAACTCTGGATTTTAGTTGTTTTACAAATTTTATGCCTTTATCCCTTTCTCTTTTATCTGACATTTTATTCCGCATGAAACCAACCACGTGCAGCCTCGATGTCATCCCCACCAAATTTCTCAAAGATGTTTTTAATGTGGTTGGACCCTCCATTTTATCAATCCTTAATCAGTCCCTGGATCAAGGTCTTGTCCCATCCAGTTTTAAACATGCTGTGGTCCAACCACTTTTAAAGAAGCCTAATTTAAGCACTACAGATTTTAACAATTTTAGACCCATTTCTAAACTCCCGTTTTTATCTAAGGTTTTAGAGAAAATTGTTTCTATTCAGATTTTAGATTTTATTAACAATAACCACATCTTTGAGAAATTCCAATCCGGTTTTAAAGCACAACACAGTACTGAGACAGCTCTCCTTAGAGTTTTAAATGACCTTCTTTTAACCACGGACAGCGGAGAGTGCTCTATTTTAATTCTTTTAGATTTAAGCTCTGCCTTCGACACTATAGACCACGATATTTTATTGGATCGCCTCAAAACGTGGGTTGGCATCAGAGATACTGCACTTGGTTGGTTTCATTCTTATCTTTTAGAAAGAACCTTTGCGGTCACCATGGGTGATTTTACCTCCTCAACAGCCCCCATCACCTGTGGTGTGCCGCAAGGTTCTATTTTAGGCCCCATTTTATTCTCTATTTATATGCTCCCCCTAGGACACGTTATGGCCCGTCATAACGTGTCCTTCCACTGCTATGCGGACGACACACAGATCTACCTCCCGCTGAGACCAAACGACCCTGGAAGTCTGGCTGCTGTGGTCGACTGTTTTAATGATGTGAACCGTTGGATGGCCCATAACTTCCTTCAACTCAACACCTCCAAATCAGAAGTCCTCCTCATCAACCCGCCTCCATCCATATCCCACATCCAAACCCACCTCGGCCCCCTGTCCTCAAACATCACTCCCTCCGCCCGTAACCTCGGTGTCATTTTTGATTCTCACCTCACCTTCCGCTCCCACATCAATAAAACCACCCAAACCTGCTTCTATCACCTCCGCACCATCTCTAAGATTAAAAACATTCTCACTCCTCCCGATCTCCATAAAGTCGTCAACGCCCTCATCTTCTCCCGCCTCGATTACTGTAACTCCCTCCTCTCCGGTCTTGATGCTAAATCCCTCTCCCGCCTCCAACTGGTTCAGAACGCAGCAGCCAGACTTCTCACTGGTTTTAACAGAAGGGAGCACATCACCCCTGTTTTAGCGTCCCTCCACTGGCTCCCTGTGCGATTTAGAATTGATTTTAAGATTTTACTGATTACTTTTAAAGCTCGTTTAGGTCTGGCACCAAGCTATATTTATGAACTTTTAACCCCCTACGAGCCCCCCCGCAGCCTTAGATCCTCGGGCAGGTCCTTGCTGACCATTCCAAGGTCGAGGCTCCGGACGAAAGGTGATCGAGCCTTTTCTGTCCGGGCTCCTCGGCTTTGGAACGACCTGCCCGAGGAGATAAGGCTTGCACCATCAGTATCCTCTTTTAAATCTCTTCTTAAAACCCACTTTTATAAAACAGCTTTTAATTGTCAGCTTTAAACTTATAATGTTGTATTTTACTGTCTGTCCTGTCTGTTTTGTGGTCTTGTGTTTCCTCTGTTTGTCTTGTCTTCTTGCATTCATTCTTATTGTTTTAACTTTGTATTATGACTGATGTATTGTTTATTATGCTGTGCAGCACTTTGTAAACATTGTTTTTGAAAAGTGCTTTATAAATAAAGATTTATTATTATTTATTATTATTATTATTAGTGGTTTTAATGGTTTTAGTGGTTTTAGTGGTTTTAATGGTTTTAGTGGTTTTAGTGGTTTTAATGGTTTTAGTGGTTTTAGTGGTTTTAGTGGTGTTAATGGTTTTAGTGGTTTTAATGGTTTTAGTGGTTTTAGTGGTTTTAATGGTTTTAGTGGTTTTAGTGGTTTTAATGGTTTTAGTGGTTTTAATGGTTTTAGTGGTTTTAATGGTTTTAGTGGTTTTAGTGGTTTGAGGGGTTTTAGTGGTTTTAAATGGTTTTAGTGGTTTTAATGGTTTTAGTGGTTTTAATGGTTTTAGTGGTTTTATTGGTTTTAGTGGTTTTAATGGTTTTAATGGTTTTAGTGGTTTTAGTGGTTTTAATGGTTTTAATGGTTTTAGTGGTTTTAATGGTTTTAGTGGTTTTAGTGGTTTTAGTGGTTTTAATGGTTTTAATGGTTTTAGTGGTTTTAGTGGTTTTAATGGTTTTA